AGGATCTCCTACATAGATCCCCTTCCAAGGGGATGACAGTGGTAGCTGGGCACCATCTAGTTCTTCTGGTTTCATAGTCGTTTAGGCTGCAGATCAAGTGGTGTACCAGTCGCTAGGACTAATTGTTTCCATGACTTTTTGATTTTCTTCATTCTTCTTTGCTATGAACGAAGAGGGACCCATCATTGCATCTAGATGGTAGCTTGCTAGCTTTTAAAATCCCAGTCACTACTCACCAAAGTAGGAGGTGGAACAATGTTTTGTATAGTTTATTATGCCAATTGAGCTTGATGTCCACTGCGACTGTGGTCTCAAGCCCGCAGGTTCAACTAGTCGGTCCCTCTGGGTAGCTGGCTGTGACCAAGCAGTGACCACAACCTTGCCCCTTGTCAGCTCTACTATACACCTGGGAATTCTGCTCATTCACATAAACTTATAGGACCATTGTCTGCCAACCCTATATATGTTCTTGTATACTCCCCATTTCATAGACATACCTAATCGTTCAGTCTGTCCACCCATCTACCCACCCATATACCTGTGTTTGCCTTCACTGACAGTGCAGTACTGTATGTGCAAAAGGGTTCATTAGTAATTGACTTTGTCTTCTTGAGCTGCTGTTTGAAATCTTTTGTTTAGCTCTTTTATCTTGTAATTTCTCCCATTTTCTTTAGCTGTTCTCTATTCAAGAGCAAGTTTCATAGTCTCTTCTGACATCCAATTTTGGTCTTTTCTTCCTTCCCTGTCTTTTTAATGACCTCTTGCTTTCTTCTTGGATGATATTCTTGATGTCATCCCATAGTTCCTCTGGTTTTTGGTCATTGGTCTTCACTGCGTGAAATATATTCATTAGATTATCTCTAAATTCAAGAGGGATATGATCAAGGTCATATTTTGGGTCTCATGAACTTTTTAAAATTGTCTTCAGCTTCAACTTGAACTTGCAAATAAGCAGTTGATGGTGTGTTCCACAGTCAACTCCTGGCCTTGTTTTGGCTGAAGATATTGAGCTATTCCATTACATCTTGCCACAGATTTAGTCAGTCTGATTCCTGTGCACTCCATCTGGTGTAGTCCATGTGTATAGCTGCCATTTGTGTTGTTGAAAACAGGTATTTGCAATGAATAAGTTTGTTGGTATTATAAAATTCTGTCATGCGAGCTCCAGCGTTATTTCTGTTACCAAGGCCACATTTTCTAACTACCAGTGATTTTTCTTTGTTTCCAACTTTCACATTCTGTTTACCTGTGATAATTAATACATCTTGATTGCATGTTTGGTCAGTTTCAGAGTGCAGAAGTTGATAAAAGACAATTTCCTCATTTTTGGCTTTGGTGTTTGGTGCATAAATTTGAGTATTAGTAGTATTGCCTAATATTAACTGGTCTTCCTGGGTGTATGGATATTATCCTATCACTGAGAGCATTGTACTCAGGACAGATCTCAAAACATTTTTGGTGATGATGAATACCACACCATTCCTGTTCAGTCTGTCATTCCTGGCGTAGTAGTTCATGTGGTTGTCTGATTCAAAATGGCCAAGCATAGTTGAGTACAAATTGTTTACACTATCTAGAGACATGGAGACAGAATAGGTAACTATAAAAAGTAATTGGGAATTTGGACAAATGGCAGTACCAGTATCTGATGGAAGCACTCAGGGCTTTTCTAGCTTTGATGGAGATGTGTAGCCTAAGTATTAAGTGTTCTTATTTCCCCTTCCCAAGTGGGCCAGGTTGCCACCTGGGAAAAACTTCAGTTTTTGCCTGAAGGTTGATCATTGCAGCTTGTGACCACATTTTTCTTTTCCTGATTGTATTAACAGCTAGAATTGTTTTATAGATGTTGCTTGAGACTGATGCCGCCCTCTTAAGTGTTTCAGAGTAATTGTCGCATAAATCTGGACTGTGTTTTTAACCTTGAAAATTTTCAGAGGGTTCTCTGTTTGATGTATAAATTCACCATCTGCTTCATTTCTCTGTGATATTTAAAAAATATACTTGCTATGAAATACAATAAGATACTTTATGTATTTCTATTAAAGAATTTAGATTAAAAACTCAGTGATGAGTGAACTTAGTTTGCATGTTTGTATATCCGATCACTGTGGCTTAGCCCCTTTATCCCCTGTTATACTCTTACTCTGGTTTACAGAGTTTTAGATTTTGGATGTTTATCCTCCAAAATATACCCCTCACCAACGATACAACTCCTCTGCCCTCCTCAGGTGAGAATTGTTGGTGAATGATATAATACAGTGTGGGGTTGAGTTCAAATTTTTCTACCTGTTGAAAAAATTATGTAAGATCTTCATATCTCAGGTACTCATCTCTGAAGTAAATACAATGCAATTTACTTTGCAGAGTTATTAGTTGGAGAGAATGAATATAAAATGTGAGACATTCTGCTTAGCTCTCAGTAAATAGATACATTATTATTACTGCTATGATTTTGAAGTAGCATCCACAGACTTCTTTGGCAATATGACATAGACATTGGGATTTATAGGTACATTAAACATCATATGCTGGATTAAGGAAAATTTGTGTATAATCCCAGGGGAGTTTACAGAGCCTCCTGGAACAGACTATTTCTATTTCATAAATTGACTTGTTCAGATTCGTGAAAATAATCAATCTCTCAGTCTTTTCTTAGCAAATGGATTTGACTTCTTAATAACATATTTTTCTTTTCCTTTCATTTTAAGGGTGCTATTTTCTTGGAAGGTGTCACTGTTAAAGGTGTAACTCAAGTAACAACTCAGCCAAAGTTAGGAGAGGTACAGCAGAAGTGTCATCAGTTCTGTGCCTGGGAAGGGTAATAACATTTTAAAAACAATCTGCTATTAATCTATGACAGTTAAAATGAATGCAAACACTGACCTATCTTCTTTGTTCCTTAAAGTATGTGTATTTACAGAAAGTGCTTGAAAAAATGTCTAACAGGAATTTATCAGGTTTTTCTCTTAAGCAGCACAGTAATCAGATGGTAGAGTCAAAAGTCGATGACTCACATGTCTTTGTTTTGTCTCTTTAATTCTACTGGTACTTATTCGTGTTTGGAGTAGCTTTATCAGCTTGTTAAAGGATAAGAGGTGAAACTTGAATTTGGCTAATTTTCCAGTTTTTCTGAATCAGAAGTTTGGGAGAATCAGCTTTAAATATGTTTGGACCCCCACTGTGACTTGGAAATATTTATCAGACATTTCATGGGATGGGATTTTACTAGAAAATTCACTGTTCTTATCTGGTCTCACAGGACTTGGTCTGTGATCATTTCTGTTGATCATTGCTTTCTGGCAGAAAATTGTAATATAGCTTGAGAATGATGAAATAGGAGTATTGATTGTTAAAAATTTGTAATGTAAGTTCCTCATATGAAGAAATCTTGTGACTGGTACATACAGATCAGATAAATCAGCTAGAAATAATTTTAACTAAAAGATAAAAATGTTGAAAAAAATATTACTGGTTTTATTGTGTTCAGCCCTTGCCAGTGTACCTAAATTTCTCTGCTTTGTCTCTTGTGGGCATCTTTTGAGCAGATATTTGCCAACCCTCTAGTGTCATGGCAAGTTGTCAATATCGTGATGGAGAAATAAAGGTCTAGAATAATGTAAGATAAACCAAGATTTAAATTTCTCCCTGAAATAAAAGACTTGTAAACATACCTGTTTTATTGTTCAGATCGTGTATATTACTCCTTTAAAATTAACTCAGTAATTATAACCAAAAAGCAAACCCACTGCCATTGAGTCTATTCTGACTCATAGTGACCCCCATTGGATTTCCAAGGCTATATAAATCTTTACAGAAGTAGATTGCCTCATCTTCTTCTTGGTGAGCAGCTGCTAGGTTTAAACAACCAATCTTCTGGTTAGAAGTCAAATGCCTTATGCACTGCACCACGAGAGCTTTAGTTATAACATAGCAGGGACAATTTAAAAACTCGTTAATCTGCATTCTAAAGTGTCAAGAAATTGATAAATTTTTTTAGCATTCTTGTGAAAGCTACCATTATTCCAATTCATATTATCTCACAATAGCGAGAACATTGTGATAAATGGTGTGATTCGTGTCAGATTGATTTAAGAACAAGCATTGCTTTGATGGGTACTAGTCATAATCATAATAAAATGTTCTTCATTTAAGGTCTGGATTCCCTGGAGCACAGCCTGTTTCCATGGATAAGCAAAATATTAAACTTTTAGAGCAGAAGCCATATAAAGTAAGCTGGAAAGCAGATGGTACTCGGTAAGTTAGACCTCTAAAGCAAATTATATGAATAACCCTAATAGTTGAAGAATATTGCTTTGTTGTTAGGGAAGGTTCACACTGTTGGGAGTGTTAATTTCTGACATGAACAGCAAAAGTTCATGTTTCAAAAGTTACATAGTTTTTGTTAGGCATGGTGTTTTTGGCCATGTAATGGAGTTATCTCTTGTTCTGCCAAATTCCTTCAGAGTGCTATTACCTTGACATAAATGTCTCTCACTTACTACGTTTGAAAGCATTTTCTTTTGATGTGGTTTGTGATGTCTGTTGCCCACTTCATTTCTTTGATGATTGTTGGACACTTTTAAAGTTAACAGATGTGTTGTCAGTTTATAATGTAAAAATTAACAACTCCCTAATTGATTGGATTTTTCATTCCTTTGAATAGTTACCCTTTTCTCTTAGTCCTTTGGTAATACTATTTGTGATGTTGTATCTTCTTAAGGTAGTTGTATCCTTACAGTTAAACTTAGTTTTAAATTTCATATTCCTGAATTTTTCAGTATTCATTAGTGTTTTACTCTTTCTTAATATTTTTTCTTTTTAGGAATCTATATATATTTTTTATAGTTTTACTCTATGTATTTATTATTGCTATAGCATAGTGGCTAAGACACTTGCCTGCTAACCAGACGGCTGGTGGTTCAAACCTACCAGCCACTCCTCGGAAGGAAGGTTGGGCATTCCTACTTCCATAGTGATACTGCCTTGGAAACCCAAGGAGGGGTCGCTATGAGTCGGGGCCGACTCGACAGCACATAACAACAACAACAAATAATACTTGAAATAATTATTTTGTTAATAATATAGAAGTTCTATAAACTTTTTCATAATGAAGCAAAAATTTTAGAATACTTAGGAGTACACATATATATTTGTTTTTAAATTTTATCATGAAGATGATGTAGGTTGTATTTAATTTTCTATGAGAAGTTTTTAAATGTCAATCTCACACAAGGCATGCTAATTATCACAATGTTCGCCCTATCATGAGATAATATGAATTGGAATAATGGTAGCTTTCACAAGAATGTTAAAAAAAAGTTATCAATTTTTTGACATTTTAGAATGCAGGTTAACGAGTTTTTAAATTGTCCCTGCTATGTTGTAACTAAGAAGCTCTTCTGGTGCAGTGCATAAAGCATTTGACTTCTAGCCAGAAGGTTGGTGGTTTAAACCTACCAGCTGTTCACCAAGAAGAAGATGAGGCAATCTACTTCTGTAAATACTCGTATAGCCATGGCATGTATACTCTATATCATGTTTTCTTTATCTGTATTTAACTTGTGGTGACCTTAAAAGATACTTAGGGAGACATGAGTGGAGCAGATACAGCTTGATTGCACTGTTAGGTGAATGTTGTTGTTAGATACCATCTAGTTGATTCTGACTCATAGTGACCTTAGGTACAACAGAATGAATACTTCCTGGTCCTGCATCATCCTCACAGTTGTGGCTATGTTTTAGCTCATTATTACAGCCACTGTGCCCATCCATGTCATCGAAGCACTTCCTGTTTTTTGCTGACCATCTGCTTTATCAAGCATGATATCCTTCTCCAGGGACAGGTCCCTCCTGACAGCATGGCCAAAGTACAAGAGGTGAAGAGGTGAAATCTTCCTATCCTCACTGCTAAGGAGCATTCCGGCTGTTCTTCTTTCAGGCAGATTAGTTCGTTCTTCTGGCAGTCCATGGTATATTCAGTATTCTTTACCAACACTACAATTCAAATGCATCAATTCTTGTTCCATCTTCCTTGTACATTTTCAAGCTCTTACATGCATATGAGGCTATTGAAAATACCATGGCTTGGGTCATATGCACTTTAGTTTTCAAAATGACTAAAAATCTTTGCTCTTTAATACTTCACAGAGGTCTTTGGCAGCAGATTTGCTCAGTGCAATATTGATTTCTTGACTGCTGCTTCTCTGGACATTGATTGTGGATCCAAGTAAAATGAAATTCTTTTTTTTTTTTTTTAAATTGTGATTTGGGTGAAAGTTTACAGAGCAAATTCACTTTCCATACAGCAGTTCACATACATGTTGTCTCATGACATTGACTGCAATTTACCCCATTGCAACAGCTCCCCTCCCACTTCCTCCCAACAGTCACCTCTTCCCGGTGTCCATCCCTCCATACACCCCTGCCCCCTGAGCTGTCTCCCTGTGCATAAATAGCCCTTCTTTCTCCCATGATTGTTCTCTCCAAGGAGTGTATCTACTTTGGGTAAATATTCAACTCATATACCTGTCTTTTGTTTGGCTGGAAGCCACAGGGTGGGTTCAATTCCAGACCTGAAGGGCAGCTAGGGACCATAATCTCAGTGGTTCCACCAGGCTCTATCAGACCAGCAAACCAGGTCCCCACCCCCCTTTTTTTTTCCCCAAATGCTTTTGAGTTTTGTTCCACACTGTTCTCCCTCTCTATCCAGGATCTCTTAGATAGATCCCCTTCTGAGTGACTGGCAGTGGTAGCTGGGCACCATCTAGTGCTTCTGGTCTTATAGTCATATAGACTACGGATCATATGGTGTACCAGTCGCTTGGACTAATTGTTTCCATGAATCTTTGGTTTTCTTCATTCTTCTTTGCTCTGTACAAGGAGAGACCCATCGTTGCATCTAGATGGCTGCTTGCAAGCTTTTAAGATCCCATTTGCTACTTGCCAAAGTAGCAGGTGGAACAATGTTTTATGTAGTATGTTATGCCAATTGAGCTTGATGTTCCCTGCAACTATGGTTGTGAGCCCACAGGTCCAACTTCTCGTTCTCTGTGGGTACCTGGCTGTGGCCAAGAAGTGACTACAGCCTTGTCCCTTGTCAGCTCTCCTATACATCTGGGAATTCTTACAGAACATACAAATACACTTGTAGAACCATTGTCTGCCAACCCTATACATGGTCTTGGGTACACTCCCCACTACATAGAGATACCTAATAGTTCAGTCTGTTCACCCATCTATCTACCCATATACCCTTGTTTGCCTTCACTGACAACGTAGTACTGTATGTGCAAAAGGGTTCATCTTTGTTGTCTTTACCTTCCATGTACCTCTCTATGTCTTTCTCTTACTCAGTGCCACCATGTTGATCACTTACATCTGGTACATTGCCCTTCTCTTCACCCAAATCAATACCTATCTCTGCCTATCTAACAGTGTACCCTTCCCGCTCCTCCCATCCCTGGTAACCAACAAAGAAAATTTCCTTCCATAGATAAAGCTTTCCTTGACTTTTACAATAACAGACTAATACAATATTTGTCTTTCTGTGATTGAATTATTTCACTCAGCATAAGAGGCATGTATTTTTAATATATAACAATATTTCAGCAGGTGGGGTTTATTACCTACTTCTTTTGAGTGGAGAAAAGAGTGAAAAATTGAGGATCAAAATGCCTGTTTCTAGGCTTTATACTACAAAATGGCCTGGGTATTTTGGATTGAGTCATTGACTTGACCTGTAATGAGTTTCATGTTTTAGGTAATTAAAAAATTTTTTTATATTGCTCTCAGGAGCTCTGGTGGCATAGTGCCTAAGGCATTTGCTAACTTGAAGGCTGGCGGTTCAAACCCAATAACCACTCCTCGGTAGGAAGACTGTGCAATCTACTTCCATAGAGATACCTCCTTGGAAATCCAAGGAGGCATTGCTGTGAGTTGGAACCAACTCGATGGCAGTGAGGTTTTTTTTTTTTTGGGGGGGGGGCGGCGGTTATATTGCTGTCACCACAATATGCTGCCTATGGCCATGACAATCCTTGGGCAAAATTATAAGGTCTGTTGAATTTGTCACTTGTATTTTGCTATTCTACCTTTGTTTATTTTCCTTCTTTTGCAATTGTATACTCCTTTTTTCATTGAGTCTTAGACCCCTAGATGACTGGCTAAAGTAACTTGAGCTGAGATGTTTTATTGATAATGGAAATATCTCATTTCTCGTTGAACTCTGCTTTACCAAAAACAAAAGGAAAACTCCTAACTATTTTCTGAATACCTAGTCTGTCTTAGTATGCTTTATTCTGGAAGAAAATACGTATGTAAGACATTTTTCTGAACCAGTATAAAATCCGTCTCTTGGGTAGTGGGATTTAGGTCCAGAAGCCTGGACTTCCTGTGATTTTTAGGGTAAAAAGAGCTTGGGGGTACTGTAGAATAGTCTTGGAGTCCATGGAATTAGAGTAGCTAGTTAACAGCTATGTTAATAATGTAGACTCTATTTAAAGGGAGTATAGGACTTCTTTTTATTTCATAGTTTATTGGCCATTTGTGGTCTCTAGTAACAATATTTAGATCCAGGGATCTCTGAAATTGAATGTGATATGAGACCTGGATATAAAAAACAAACAAAACTCACTGCCTTGAGTCATTTCTGACTTATAATGACCCTATAGGACAGAGTAGAACTGCCTTGTAAGGTTTCCAAGGCTGTAAACTTTATGGAAGCAGACTGCCTCATCTTTTTCTTGCAGGGTGGCTGGTGGGCTTGAATCACCAACCTTTTAGTTAGCAGTTGAATGCTTTAACCACTATGCCACCAGAATTCCTTCAGACCTAGATATAGTTAGCAATAAAAGATATTACCTTGGCATTTTGCATTAGTTTGGGCTTGGAAGTAACAGTGAATTGATTGGTAGTTTAATTCCTAGCAGATTCTAAAACTTTGTAGAATAAGGAGTATTTCCTAAATACAAAGCCAAATGATACAGATAGTAATACAGATGTTCTCAAAAAATTATATAGGTATGTGTATAATACTGGTAAATTGTTAAATACTAAGCCACTGTTGTCTTAGAAACAGGTAAAATCAAAGTTTGTGTGATGGAAGAATTATTAATTGTAGTTCTTGAATTTTAGTAAAATCATACTTTTAAAAAACATCTTTAATTTTTAATAGCTCTTAACCATTTTTGTTTGCATTTTTTACTTGTAATACTTAATTTTTTTTCTTACTTTCATTTTCAAATCTCAAACTCACAAAAAACTTCCAAAAATAGTACAAAGATTTCCCATTTGCTCTTCACCCAAATTCCTCAAATGTTAACATCTTACACAACTACACTGTTATCTGTTAGGTGCCAATGAATTGTTTCTGACTCACAGCAACACTATGTACAATAGAACAAAATACTGCCTGGTCCTGCCCTATCCTCATTACCATTGCTGTGTTTAAGTCCACTGTTACAAACACTGTGTCAATCCATTTCCTTGAGGGTCTTTTTTACTAGGTGGTACAATAACTGAATAAGTTAGTGGGAAGATAAGTAACACTGTTTCTGAATTAAAACTTTTCTTTTTTCCATTTTAACATTTCTAAGCCTCATTTTCTTATCTGTAAAATAAGATTGATAAAATCATGAGATCCATTAAAAAACCTATACTTTGTCATCCAGTGTAAAATTAATAACTCTAAAATACACCATTGTTTTGTCTAGTTGTCATTGGATATTTTTCCTTAAGCTAATAGTCTCAAAAGAAAGTGGTCAAATTTTAATCCAACGATATTTGCATTAAACTGAAAAAAAGCAAGATACCAAATAACTCACTCTCTCTCTCTTTCAGTGCCTTTTGTTTTCCTTTCTTTTTTCACCTACCCATAACTCAATCATCTTGCCCCTCTACCTGTGTATCCACTTATAGCTTAATGTTTATTATTACTGGTAATGCAGGATTGTGTATGTAATAGTGTTTACCTTTGTTATCTGTAACTCTGATGCATTTTTCCGTGTCTTCCTTTTTCTTAGTGATAGTGTCCTGGTCCCACACTTATATAACAAAACTCTATTGAAATGTTCTACTCTGTCACATGAAGTTGTTATGGTCAAAACTGACCTAAGAGCACCTAACAACCATATTGATTGTCATAAGCAATTTTGATTTGTGAAAAGAAAAGCAAAGGGGATAAAATTGTGCAAAGGTGATCCTCTCACTTAATGGGAAAAGTGGTATATATTTTAGTGTGAGACCAAGCAAGGTAATCTATTTAGGAATAGTAACTTAAACTACTATATTTTTAAGAACTGTATAGGCTTTCAGTGGTTGCATTTGATCATGAAAGGCGTTGAGCATCCATGTTGTTGTTGTGGTTAGATGCCATCGAGTCTACTCCAACTCGTAACGATACTATGTACAACAGAACGAAACACTGTCCAGTCTTGTGCCAGCCTCACAATCCTTGCTGTACCTGCATCTATCATTGCAGCCATGGTGTCATTCCATCTCCTTGAGGGCCTTCCCCTGTTTCCCTGACCCTCCACTTTACCAAGCATGATATCCTTCTCCAGGGAATGGTCCCTTCTCATACATGACCAAAGCAGGTGAGACGAAGTTTGGCCATTCGTGCTTCCAAGGAGCATTCCAGCTGCACTTCCATGACAGATTTGTTCGTTTTGGCAGTCCATGGTACTTTCAGTATTCTTTACTAGTGCCACAATTCAAAACATCAACTCTCCTTTGGTCTTATTCATTTTTCAGCTTTCACATGCATATGAGGCAGTTGAAAACACCATGAGTTGGGTTAGGTGAACTTTAGTCTTTGAAGAGATATTTTTGCTCATCAGCATTTTAAAGAGGTCTTTTACCACAGATTTGTTCAGTGCAATATGT